CACCGGCACCCCGGTACTCCTGGCATCCGCAGGCCCGGTATCGTGCACCGGCAACCTCAGCACGCCCCGTAACCCCGGCACCCCGGGCACCGAGCACCGGCAACCTYGGCACCCCGGCAGTGGCACTCCCGGCAGCGGCGGCCCGAGGGTGACCGGGTCCGGGCCGGTGCCCCCGCCGGGGTCTCAACCGATACCGGTCCCACAGTGGGATCACAGCCGTTCCCCAATTCCCGGGGTCCCTACCAGCCCCCCGGTGACTCCTTTCCCCCCCAGCCAGGCTCCCGCACCCCCGACCCAGCCCCGAGGTGTCCCGGGATGTTCCGAAGTGCCCGGGGATGGCGGCAGCGGGACAGGGTGACACGGGACAGGGAGAGCCCTGCGGCAGTGTCTGGCCTCGGACAGGGGCTCAGGGCTCTGGGGGTCCCTCACAAGGAAGAAGAAACCACTTCTTTTCACTCGTGAGCCATCCAGGCCCGCTCCGGTGAGCTCCAGCACAGCAGGAAGGTGACAATGACCCGAGATCCCCAAAATCCCGACATCACGGCCCCTCGCAGAGTCCCCTGCTGCAGCTCCATTAACAGATCTTCTGTTTTCCTCTTCCCTCGTTYGCTGTTCCAGGACATTTCCATAGAAACAGCATCCTGGCTCCTCCGCAGTCCAGTCTCCAATAACTGCAAACCGCGTTAGAGCGAGGCCAGCGGCGGCCACCGGCACGGCCCCGCCTGGCCCTCGCTGCCATCGGGACTCAGTCCCGGCGTGGACAGCACGGACACGCTCCCAGTCCCTCCCCCAACCCCCCAGACTGACCCCAGAGCTGGGCTGCATCCTCTGCCTCGCAGCTTTTCGTTCCATGCTCCTGCTCGCTGACCTAGCAACAGCAGGAACCATAATCCCAATGGTTCTGCCAGGAGAACAAGAGGGAGTTCTGGGTTTGGGATTAATCCGAATTCTGTCTCTTCTGTACCTTTCAAGGGGCCAGGAGGAGGTCTGGGCCATATCCGTGGTAGAAGAAAACTTAYTTCCGTGTACTCTGTTTGCTTTTTGCTGTTTATTTGCTTGTTAAATACTCGTTAGCAGAGGTGGTGGTAGCACAGACCGAGTGCAGCAACAGGGCTGGCTTGCCTGGGGGAATGTGATTGCTGGACCAGATCCATCCCAGAATMTTYGGGGRAAAATYGTCTGAAACAAGCACAGGGGACAARCKCCCSCCAAACCTCRGTGRTTCCTTTTCCTTGGAAAATTCTGCTTCTCCCTGGATTAAAGACAGATGGGACACGACTGGCCCCTGCTTTCTGGAGCCTGGAGAGCTTAAATGACAGCACGTTGATCTACACCTAATGTGATTAAGTTRCATCTCTGAGTATCACGCTAATTAAATTAAACTTCCCACTGCTGCCTCTGTAGCTTAAACGGGATAGTTGTTTTAGGACCACAATCCACTCTGCTGCATTTCCTTGCATGGATGAGCAGGTGGGATAAAAGCATTCTGCTAATCAAATCATYGCGGTGTTTAGAAACAATCTCTAAGTCGATGGGTATTCAAATTCAAATCTGATTTGAGTTGGATTTAAACCCTGCGTTTTCAATCTGAAGYGATTTGTGCTTTGAATAAGGAAAATAACAGGAAAAAGCAGAAGTGAACGGATGAGGAAGTGAATGGACTGTGTCTGACCGTGATGTCGCTGGTGTAGACATGGGATATTGGGAAGAAATTCTTCCCAGTTTGAGGGTTTGAGGCCCTGGGTCAGGATGCCCAGAGAAGCTGTGGCTGCCCCTGGATCCCTGGAARTGTCCAAGGCCAGGCTGGACGGAGTTTGGAGCAGCCTGGGACAGTGGAATGTGTCCCTGCCCATGGCAGGGGGTGGCACTGGATGAGTTTCAAGGTCCCTTCCAACCCAAACCATTCCGTGTCTCCCCAAAACACCTCTCCCGCTGCCCTCCTCCCACCTCCAGCAGCTCTTTCCACCTTGCAGCCTCTAAAACCAAGCGGAGATTTCAAAGCTCTCCCCTCATCGATCTGACAGCKCGGCCCTGACCCGGAGCAGCGGCTCGGGGAGAGGGAGCAGCGGGATGGGAACGCAGGGAATATTCACGGCTCATTCCCCGGCCAGAGCCCGGGGGGATCCGTCAGGGATGGAGGAACTGAACCGACGGCTCGGGGCGGCCCTGGGCTGGAGCGGAGCATCCGCGGTGCGTGCGAAACGGAGCCYGGTCCGTGCGGAGCTCCCGGACCGCAACCTGCGCATCCCTGAGCCGCAAACCCCCGGCTGGGAGCGGTTTGGGATCCTGCAAACCCAGGGTGACCCATCCCGGGTGTGATTTAAGAGCTCGGTGCGGGGAAAATAGGAGGATCTTCAGGAGAGATAGGAACTTGGCGTTAAACGGATGCCAGATTTGAACGGCCGCTGCTTCGCACTGAGAAAGGGGCTCTGTCCAGTTCTCGAGGGGTGCTGGGGCTGTCCCTGCTCCCCGCAGACCCCACAGACCCCTGAGGCAGCGYCTGACCCCTCCTGAACAGGACTTGGGTCTCCCGACAGTCACAGYGAGCCATTCCACGTAAACCACCCGGAGAAAGGAAGGGTCAGCAGCACAGAAAGTGCCATTTCTATTATCTATTATTTTTCACAGTTGCTATGGCACCAGCCGCCTCCGTTCTGTTGTTTGTGCCTCCAGACGGTTTTTGGTCAGGGGGTTAARCCCTGCTCCTCCGGCACACCCCGCAGGCAGCGGGGATTTCTCACCWTCATCCCAAATCCCGGGACAAGAGCAGCCCCTCTGGCCGCCCCCACAGCCTTGGCTTTCATCACTGAGTTTCAGGGTCCCTTCCAACCCAAACCATTCCGTGTCTCCACAAGACACCTCTCCGCGCTRTAGGACTGGGATCCGCGGTTCTGTGAGGTCCCGGCAGTGACCCAAATCCCCTATAAACCACCGCAGATTTCTTGTCTTCACCTGAACGCCGGGCTGGGCTCGGGGGAGCCACACCGGGCTCAGGAGGGGCTGTGCCGGGACCACCCCAATCTCCGCTCGTTCGCCACCCCATGGGGACTACCCTGAGCCCTTCCCACCCAGCCCCTTCCCTCGAGGAAATTCCTTATCGCTCCCTATAATCCCACCAGCGGAAAAACGCTGTGTTTCACAGGAGATGTGTTCACAGAACAATAATTTCGTGTAAAAGCGACAATAATTTCGGGTTCCGCAGCGGAAGCTTGCGGAGCGCAGCCCACCCTGTGCAAGGACCGACGGGACCGGACCCAC